GAGATGCAGCAGAGTGCAGATAGAGGAAGTGAGAAACCAGGAGATGCTCACTCAGGAGGCTCCGGTGGCCTGACCACCGCCATAGACTGAAGCTAAACCCGTGGGTGAAGAATGGCCAACCATGTCCTTGCTTATTCCTCTCCACCCCCTGAAGAGCTGAAGAACTGTGGCCAGATGTGGAGTTATCCAGAGTTTCTAGAAGCCAAAAGAAGTGAAAACAAATGGGGAAAATATGAATTTTAGGGAAAACAGCTTGTTCCAAAAGAAAATAAAGCAATACACTCTCGGTCCAGGAATGAAAAACACTAAAGTGTGTGCCAAAAACAGCAAACTGAGTTTTTATACAGTTATATACTGCTAGAATTATATCAAGAGGGTGCAAGAGATTTAGAATTCTCATCTCCTTGTAATAAGTCCTGTGTAAAAATGATCAATGCAGAGAGAGCGTGGTGGCCATATTTCTTAGAAACCCGAAGTAAATACAAAGAGAAAACAATCAGAAATAGAGTGTTTCTGGGGAGATGGAGGAGGCCAATGAAGCAAGGGCAGACTGGGCATTTTTAAGTCAGTCTTCCAGCACTGCTGGACTTTTTTTAAAAGTATATAAACGTACCTCTTTCACAAATGTAAAAATACTCTTTAAAAGTCAGGCTTCTTCATAGACTCTTTTTCTACCATCAAGTAATTTTTAATTATAATAATAATAAATCTGTGTTAGATGACGGGAGCCTGAGGTATCAATGAGAGGTGAAAGTCATTATCGCCACCGCAAAGCCAATGCTGAAGACAAAATAAACCCAGCAGCCTGAACAGGGAGCAAGTGGCTATTTTTCCTAATTTCTGGTGCCCAGGACAGTTTGAATACCCTGCCCCAGTTTAAAATACTCGAGAGTACAGTTGTTTGCCCTATAGGAATCAGAACTGGAGTGTGCCAGTCTTCCCTGCGGCCAGGAGCACGAGGCATAGTGCTAACCCATGCCAGCTGATGACGGCCAATCAGAGGCAGCAAAGACTTCTTCCTTCTGCAGACCAGGGCAGCAACCGCACTGTTAGCCACACTGCGCATGGGCAGCAGGGAAGGAAAGCCTGCAAGCCAAAAGGCTGGGCTCTGTCTCTGATTGTGTTGCCCGAGGCCTATCCCAGCTTCTGTGTGTCTTTCTTTATACAAGCTACAATCCTTTCATAAATTGCTTTTCTGCTTAAGTCAGCAAGGATACGTGTTGTTTACAATGAGAATTGTTGACAGATATGAAAAGGGCAGCATTTCCCAGAAAGAGGATTTAGAGGAGAAACAAATAATTTGGGAATGTCAAAATCCAGAGGAAATATCTTTGCTTCAGCCTGATTGGAAGGAAGGGAAAGATTTCATGAGTAGGATAAATGAGGGACGAGACGAATGAACTCTTGAAGGTGCCATAAATAGCCTTCCTGACTCTGCCTGGGAGGAGACTCTGTCAATAAATGGTTCATGAGGATCTGAGGTCAATCACCAGGACCTCTGTGAAAATAAAGCAGGGCAATCCCAGCAGTGAGAGACAGAGACAGGCGGGTCCCTGAGGTTCACAAGCTAGCCACCCCAGTCAAAACTGCAAGCCAGACCAGTGAGAGACCCTGGGAAGCCAGGACGATGGGCACTTCTGGCCTCCACATATACACGTGCACACATGCCTCCACATGAACATATGTATACACGCACACACGCTCCCACACACACATACACACATGCACACGTGCTAGTGAGTCTTTCTGAACTCACTGAGATAGCTTTTAGAATAGATAAGATGTATAACTTTTACAAGATAAGGGCAGAATCCCAGAAAGTGAGTTTTATTATTATTGTTGTGAACCTAGGTCCCCCCACACACACACACAAACTAGTGTATTAAGAAGTACAGACAAAACCTGGAAGGAAATGTATGCACCACAGTTATGGGCATGGCTTTCCTGGGCACAAGTCGTCCAAGGGCTCCACATTGCACTGCCAAGCCCCTCCCCACCAGCCTACCCTCAATACTCCTTATGTCCTAACCACTGTCGCCATAGCTTCTCAAACCTGGCACACTTCCACTACTCCCGCTGCCCCCATACTAGCAGGGGCCTCTCTCTAGGACATCTTCTCTCAGAGATCCATATGCCACGCCACTCCTCTTTATCCAGGGCTTAGATGAGGTCTGCCTTAATCACCCTATTTGAATTCTACTCCTAAGCACTCCCCTGGTCCCTGTACTCTGCCTTATGGTTCTCCAGAGTATCCAAAGCCATCTAGCTCGCTACACAACTTGTGTATTAACTGTCTCCTTCAGGTAGACTGAGGGTTTTAAGTCTCAAATGAGGAGCTTTGTGCTTTTTTCGCTTCTGTGTCAACAAATGTTCCAGCAAAATGAAGTCTTTTCAGCATCCCCATAGTTCTACAAACCACTCAGTTCCTTCTGCAGTATCCATTGGCCTGAGGACAGCGCAGCTGACCTTTCAATTGAGCCAAAGTCTGAAGGGTAGTCATTGCAGCAGGCACTGTGGGCCTCTGATTTAAAAAGAAGTGTGGGCTGCCAGGGCAGTGCTCTGAGGAGAATCCAGATGAGAGACTACATCACCCATTCCACACTGTGTTGCCTTGAGGAGAGTCGACTTCATTGGAAACCACAAAGCACGAGGGGTTTGTTCCTCTAAACAGGAGGGCACTTGACTGGGCTTACGGAGGTGTTGAGTGAGTGTTATGGTAAGGTGGGCCCATCAGTGGAAGCAGAAACAAAAATAAAGAACTGTTGCCCTAGTCTGTAACAAAATGCCACGGGGAGGGTGGGTTATCAGTGGCAGCTAACACTCAGAAAAAAAGGAACCTTCTAGGTTTTGGCGTCTAAGCAAGCAGGGAGAGGCCAGGACCAGGCCATCGCTGGAGGTCTTCACCCAGACACAGGCCAGAGAGAAAAGCAAGCTAAGGAGGCAGAGCCGAGATAAGGCAGAGCCCCTGGGGTCCCATTGTTAAAGGGACAAGTACCACTAAGGGTTCGGAGTCTCTCTGGACTCTGGGGGAGTCTCTGAAGCAGCAGCTAGCATCGTCATCGCTAAAATGACTGAGGACCTGAGCTTATCTGGTCCACAGCAAGGCACCAGCCTGTGAAGCAGGGTGAGCTCAAGGCCGTGAGGGGTGTGTGCTAGAGTTGACAGGCAAGGTTTTTTTCTGAAAGAAAATAAAAGTTGAAAATTGATTTGGGGTCAACAAAATATTTTTTCATATTCACACGATAATGTGTTGATTTGTAGAGAAGCTTCTTATGCTACAAACGTGCACTGCGGCACAACTTTAAACATCTGAGTATTTGAACTTCTTGAAGCGAGTCAAGCAAGTGCACACATAGGAAGGACAGCTGTGCCCTGCCTGATGTTGAAAGTCATATAGAACAGGTGCACTGTCCAGAAAGAAGGAGGGTGAAATCACACAAAGCAGAACTGCAAGGGGAAGGAGAACCTCTTGTTTGAGCTTTTGAGGACCAATTCTTGGCTCTAATGTGCTACCTGCATAAAATACCTGAAGAGATAGATAGATAGATAGATAGATAGATAGATAGATAGATGATAGATAGATAGATAGATAGATGATAGATAGATAGATACATAGATAGATGATAGATAGATAGATAGATAGATAGATAGATAGATAGATAGATAGGATAGATAGATAATAGATAATGATAGAAGATACATAGATAGATAGATGATAGATAGATAAATAGATAGATAATAGATAATAGATAATGATAGAAGATACATAGATAGATAGATAGATAGATAGATAGATAGATAGATAGATAGATAGATAGATAGATATGATAGATAGATAGATAGATAGATAGATAGATAGATAGATAGATAGAT